GAATATCACTAATCACGAATATCACTAATCACGAATATCACTAATCACGAATTTTTGCGACGTGCGCTTTTATACTCTTCGCAAGCGTCGTTTCTAGATTCTTCTAGCTAGATGGTCCGATTCTAGCATACTCCAGAATTCTCCAGTCACTAGAACATTCTAGAATACGCTAGAATCTAGTGCGTTCGGTAGCACGGTTATAACAATACCATGAACTGCGATATGAAAAAAATTAAAATGAAATCATTGTATTTCGGTCAGAATTGTCGTTATCCTATTTTATAAACATGATTGCTAACAGTTAAATGAACAAACGTTAAGATTGGTAAGAAAAAGTAAAGAATACTTTTTCAAGTCATGTTTTTGTTTTTAACATGCTAGCGAATAAAGAAATTTTCTTTTGAGGTTGTTGTATCCTCGATGAGTAACTCGAAGACTTCTAATAGTCCCCCGTGGCCCTTACCTCCGTTTTTTTAATTCATAAATATTCATATTTATTTTGTATTTTAATATCGACTGATTGATATTTGGATTGTGCCACTTCTTTCAATGCGATTCTACAGTTGAATACTTATTTGTTCAAGCTGCCCATGCATATTTTGCTGTTAGCGTCATGTATTATCGCACGCACAAATCGTTTTACACAATGCAAGAAGCATCACATTTTTATTACATTTTCCTTTAACAAACTTTTATTTTAAATTAGAAGGCTTTTATAAGGGTCAGATTCATATAAAATGCATTAAGAAGACCTATTGTCTATTTAGTCAGATGTTTATGTTTGTTACACACATGTGCTTCCGATAGACTGATTATTTTCCAAGACGATAAATTTGGAATTGGTATGTTCCTCATCTCTTATTAAATTTTTCTTCCACGCTCTTTTTCCAATTATGTCCGAAGAGTTTCAGTTTTCTCACATTTCTCACAAATTCTATTTTTTCAAAACTGATTCTAGTTATAACTACGTTTTTCACTTCCTGTTGGTTTTCAGCAACTTTCCACAACACTCCATATCAAATGAACAAGAACCCAACATTTAAAAAAACACCGGTTTATATTCATTTTGACTTTTTATCCAAATATTTTTCGGAGATGTAAACATTCCTTGGGAAATAGCTATATATCAAATTTTTGTGATCAAATGAGACGCTGGTTGTAAGACAGTCTGAATTCATCATTTTTACAACCATCTTGTTTCTGTGTCATCTTAATTTGCGTCTGTAAACCATCTGTGTGGCTGCCAGTGGTGTAGCAATGGAGGTAAGCCTGATTAGTTGCACAGAGCACCATGTTAAGATGATGCATTTTCAATTACTCCTATCTCATATATAAAAAAATTACTATTGCAAAAACTTTTATTGACATTTTTATACAAGCATACTTTTAGACAAAACACAAGCAATCTATTTTGTTCTCGCTAACTGATCAATATCTATTTATTAGTTGCACCCATGGACATAATATTATAATATAATATATATATATTTATATATATAAAATATAATATTATATATTTCCATGGTCGCACCCCACACACCACCATAAATCACATTCGTTAATTAAAATAAAAATAACTGAACTTATGGTTGAAATAAAATACCGCATTTAAAAACTTAATGTAGAAAATTATACTTTTTTTAAATATTTTTTAAAATTAAAGTGTTTCAAGCTTATTATGGCTCATGGTTGAGTAAATAGTGGTGGCCCAGAATATCTGAAGGAGGTTTTTAGCAAAAGAACTGAAGTTGATATGGGACATCCATTGCGTTCGGTTTCGTCAGAAATGATGGTAATTCCTAGGACCAGGATAAAACTGGGTGACAGATGTGTGCAGGTTGCTCTGCCCATGGTATGGAATGATCTTCCAGCAAGATTGAAGCAAATGTTCCAGAAAAAGATTTCAGAATAGAATAAACATTTATTTATTCAACAAAGCATTTAATCACAGTACTATCCTCCGAGGAATGTCAATACAGTGAATAACATAATAATAATAATAGTTATTATTATTATCAGTCGTTAGAAATTTTTAAACAATATAATGAAGAAAAATTGTTAAAATGATAAGTAAAACATCTGTAACGTTTATTCCTTTTGTTATGTCAATGTAAAAGAAGTTTACACATCATTCATACACAGACATCATTATAGTACCTACCCTGTAAGTTTTAAGTTTTAACAAATTTTCTGGACGGTTCACTCACAGCTCACAGAAATATAAGGTTACTCAGATTTGTTAAAAAGCTCTGATGGACAGCAAACGTTCACTAATTAGGTACATGAATAAACTTGGTGATGTGATAGGTGAGGTCCCATACTTAGAATATAATCTGTTTATATTTAGCATGTAATTTAATGGTGACCTGACGCTTAATTCATGAAATTCTGTTGTGATGTTTGAACTTAAGGGTATTGGAAAAATTTTTTGTACTTTATTGTATAGCGCTGTCGAAGGCAGAACTGCTTAAATGCCATTATACTTATAGTTAAAATTTTGTGTCACAAATGTTATAATACAATCCACACCACACGTCGTACATACACACTACGGTGCTTGCGCGTATGTATGCACGCGCAAGCACCGCATCACACTCATGCATGGCATGTGATCACCGCGGAGATCCACTCTGATGGTTGTAAGGTTTGCAGTAGATTTTTTTTAGCTTAAAACAAGCAAGAGATTTTGTGACCATTTGGTTAATCAATGCAATATCGAAAAAAATTAGGTTAGGGCATATGCATATAAGATTCAGGACGGATCCCCGGTTTTGCCAGTTATGCCAGAACCCAGTTTTTGACGGACAGCATTAGAACAAGACGATGGCGTTCCTACCGACTGAACAACCTCGTGTTTGCGTATGTAGTCATCCACAACCACTATTCATTTGCATGTTGATGATTGATTCCCTTTATAAAATATTGTGAATGTTTGCTCTCCTGGTTCCAAGTAAAAGTTTATAATTTAAAAAATACGAAAGTGCAATTCTACGAGCTGATCTGAAAATGAGATTAGTGCAGAGCGTGTCATGGTGTCTAACATAAAAAATATCTGAGTACAAACTTCAGGAAAATAATTAACTCCTAACTTCAAATTATGAAATTGAAGAACATCGAAAACGCTAAATGAACGATAATTTGTACACTTTCATTATAATATGGAGAGATGGTTGTTTTGATGTCTATGATTTCATCTAGAGACATCGTTTTCTATAGACATATTTGTTTGTAAATTTGCGCTTAACTCCTCACGCATTTGTCCATTCAACAAATCCGATCCAGAGAATACAAACTCGAGAAGTATATGTTAATCTTTTTTTTTACAAAGTTCGATTTTGTTTCCGAGCATAATTTTGCAGTTGGCTAATTAATGAATTTCTTATATAATTTTTGTGTAAAATTTTTTTAAAAATTGCAAACAATTTTATTTTAATATTTATATTAAATTTTAAATAAATTTATTTCGTAGTAATAAGAAATATAAGTTTTAAGAAAAAAATCCTTAAGTTTTGTAATTTGTTAGCTGCACTGCAAACATTTTTTTGCAGTTACTATCTTGCTTGCTTGATTGAAAACTTGGATCTTTCCATTTCTCCATCTGCCTGACTTGGTTATTGAAGTATTGGTACTGTGTGTGGTGTGGTGATAAGGAGGTTAGCTTATTTTGCTAAAACAGTGGGTGTTTGTAAAATTTGTGATTTTTCAGCTTGACTACCTTCATTATAATAATAATGATAATTGTTATTATTATATTATTATCATGAACTTTTTGCTTAGCGTGAAAAAAATATAAATTAAAAAATAATTAGTTTTTTTATATAAGTATAATTATTATACACTGACACTCTATATATATTATATAACATAACTCTACTCTGCTTATTCATGTAAAATTTGGACAAAGAACAGAGAAACACAGATTAGAATTATTTGAAATGGAGTTTTGGGGATGTTTATTGGGAATCAGCCAAAGGCTAAAGGTTACCAACTTGGAGTGGTAAAAGTATGAAAAGTAGGACTCTCATTGGACATATTTATAAAATGCTAATGACAAGCTAATTAGAATGGTGCTAATAAGAAAAAGAAACTGGAAGAGAAAGGTTGTCTTGAAATGGATGGATGACATTACAAAATGATTATGGAAATTGACAAAAAACATGGGTGCTGTCAGTTATTAGTGTCCTTTCAAGTTAAACTGTATCAAATCAATGATATATTCATTCAGTGAGTTTGGCATTTATGTTTGACAGATAGGGTTTATTTTATATTTTATGGCATGCATGTGTTTCTCCATATAATATACTTTATGTGTATGCATGTAATACATATACCTAAACATACAGTCGAGCCTTCATACAACAAACTTGATGGTTCATGGAAAAAAATTTGCTATATAGAAATTTTGTTATATAGAATTTGTTCAGGAAAAAGTTCTATTTTCCTTAAAAGGTGCTTATATGCTATACATTTGTGAAAAACAACCTTTTAATCATTTATTTTGTTTCAACAAAAAGTAATAATACATAGTTTAATTGTAAAAAATATGAAAAATAACATTATGTAATATGTGTGTACATACTTACATTATATGTATACAAAGCATAATACGTAAAACAGTAATGCAAAAATATAACTTACAGTTTACTGTGTTCAATTTGTTTTTTTTAATTTTCAGCTTTTTTTTTAACTTTTATAAATTTTATTTGTCATAGAAAAATTATTTTCATTATAAAGAAACAGCTTTATATGTAAAATGCCAAGGGACATAAAAAAATGTTTGTTGTATAGAGATCTTTGTTGTGTAGAAGTTTGTTATAAGTAGGTCTGACTGTATACACATCATGTGTAGTGTACTGTGCACCTTAACCTAGTCAGGATAAAGTGGAAGCCAATCAATATTAATATGAAGGTAGTCAAAAGAAAAATTTGAATGTTAATTTTTGGCTAAATAAATTGTGTTGTTAATAATTAAAATCAATCATTTTTTAATAATTTTGCAGATGAATCAAGCCATTTGCAAACGGAAGTCTGATCCAAGAATATTACAAAAATTATGGACGGTTATAAATAATATTCGTCTTCAAAAGCAAGTTGCTAATGTGGAAAGGATTGTAAGAAGCATGGTGAGAGAATATGATATAAAGAGCTCAGAAGTGGAGGACCAGCTTCAGTTTGGTGTGGAAGATGAACTGATTGTGGCCTACAAGGCAGTCTCACAGAAGGGGTCAAATGCTGGCTTGGAACAGGATGGATTCAGAATCAGTTCATTTGAAGAAGTTAATGAACAGGTCTCAAATTCATTTTTAAGTTTCATTTTAACTGTATGTTAATTGTCCACAAACAGATTTACAAATATGTAACTCGGGTACATAAAACATTTTTAACTCAAAAATTGGTGTTTCTTTTCTTATCTAGTCAATGTTTCCTGATTCTAATTTAATTACATCCTTAGAACTGCATTTAATGTACCTACGTTGATTATGTCTTGCTAAAGGATTTTTTTAGTAAGCCAATGATGATATTTATAGATGAATTTAAGATAGCTATTGAATTTAAGTAGTTGTAGATGTTGATGTTTAGGTTTTTGGATTTAGTAAGACTGAAACAGGTTAGAATAGAGTTTTTAGAATAATGTTAACATTTCACTTCCAATGCATATCAGTGTCCAATTATTACATTCTTCCATCTTGTAGAGCAAATTGTAGTACTTGTTCAAGATAACATATGGAAATATATTTTATTTTATTATCACTCATCTTTTTTAGCTCACAAGATTATTATTCCTAATTAACTAACTGGTTCTGCTACTGCATCGATTTTATACATTTATAAAAATAGTTTTGCACATGAGAAACATTGAATTAAATATAATGTTAGAATAATAAAAATGACATAATGCCAATGCTTCAGTTAGTTTAAATTTGTCATGTATCTATGTTCTCGTGATTTATTTCAATTTATTTTTAACAAAGGAGAAGCCAGATCATGATTGGTACTGTTATGATTGCCACAAGGGAGGTGAAGTTCTTGATTGTTCTGAATGTTGGCGAGTCTACCACGAAGGTTGCATACATGAAGAGCTTGGAGATGAACCCTTTGTCTGCTCCATATGCAAAGTAATCCTATCAAATGTTTGTTGAAGGTTGTGTGCCCCAGTGCAGTGATTTTATATTATCTTTTGTGAAACTAACTTACTGGCAATATGATTAAAAAGTGATCATTTGGTTAACCTTAAAATTTTTTATGAGCATTTTCCAAGTATCCGGTAATTAATGAAAAATTTAAATGTCAGGAATGCTAAGTAATTGAATTTGAAAAAGAGAATATTATGTTAGAGAGCCAAGTAGTCTAGTCAGTGTGATCATTATGTTGTTGTGTATGTTGGTAGTCTGGTCAGTGTGATCATTATGCTATTATGGTATGAGGCTCTGCAACAGCTTCTGTATATCTGGTATCATAGTTGTAAAATTATTAATGATGTTACTAATTTTAATTTTGAAAAATTTTGAAATGAATTGCAAAATCAAAATGATGTTATCTTATGAAGGAGTTAATGGTAACAGATTTTATTATATTTGTTGCATGCTAGTATGTACTTGTGTTCTTTTTAGATATTGGAATATTTCATTAGTGTACATTCAACAAGTGGAGGAAAGTAGTTGGAGCATGACTGTGTAATAGAAATTTATATTGTCTTTTTGTTTCATATTGCCTTCATAATAATCTTGTTGGCAGCAAAAGTTTTGTTTGAAATTATCATAGCATTGTGTTATCTTTAATTTTTTATAGTATATTTGATCTTTTCTGTTTCTAATTTGTATCTAAATATTTTTTTTCTTATTCATTTATGATTTTTTTTCTCAATTAGATAGAAGTAAAAAATTGTTTGATACAGGATGTAAAGAAGCAGACGAGAATGAAGAGGAAGGAGTTGAACAAGTTGCTGACCTTCACTGTGGTTCGCTTGAAGGACAAAGTTAGTCAAGTTCATTTTCAGGCCTCCTGCTTTTATTAATTTTTTATGATTATAATTATGCTTATTCAGTTATTGTTAATGTTATTATTATCTTTGAAAATTTTTTATAACTACATATCTATATCATCAAAAGTAAAATGCACATGTTGGTTATGGCCTACCTACCGTAGATATATTATACTTCAGCCAAGTGATTGCTTCTAAATTATTTAGTGTCACAATAATGTCTGATATGAATTGTAACATCCAACATATGTTGGATGTTGGTTTGAAAAATTTTAGTAGATGAGTTTGATTTCAGTTAAGCAATTTTTCGCTGAACTGATAACCAAGGAAGTTCATTCTTCATGTAGTGATAAATGCAGCAAGTTATAAGCTGCAAAGTTCAAAACCGATTGAAGGAATGTTAGGTGATGCTTGTTAATAATACCAAACAGAACAGAGTTGCATAAATCATTTTGATGCCAACAAGGCTGTTTACCAAAGTTTCTATCAGCCCTTCGTTTCATCCGTTCTCATGTAGTTGATAAAAAATCTTTGATAGAGCAGTTTTATGTGATCTATAAAAGACCTGCGTCAAGAATGACGACAAGGTCAACAACTGTGTCCTTGAACCCATTCAATCACTGTTATCTGCCACATTTTAAATTTTATTATCATTCAGTTTCAGTTTGTCAGCTGACATTAACGGTCCCACTGCCTGTATTAATGGTTTTTTTTATTGTTGACAGTCCAAAGAGCTGCACTTCTTCTGTGGTGCTGATCAAGGCCTGAACAGATTTGTCTTCTTCTACATGGATCTGAACATGATGCAAGAGAAGGCGAACAATCGCAAATATAAATATTTGGAGCAGTTCTATGCTGACGCCCTCACCATACTCCACAACATCTTCATCTGCTATGGAGGTTTGTACCAGCGTTACTTTCAACTAATTTTGCGCTGTTACATATCATATCGTTTATAATGGGCTTAATGATAAGCTTCTCTATCTAGCTGCAGCAATTCAGTGTTATTTTCTGATCTGTTGGGATTCATAAGTTTATCATTGATAATTTGCTGCTTCTATTAAATTGTTTTTATTTTGTTGATATTTTATTACACGATTGGATAATTTTGCACTTGAAACATTCATGCTGACCAACAGCTCAGTCTTTTTTGTGTTTCAGTTTTAATAGCGTGTTTGTGAAATTTATTTTTAAAAATTTTCAAATAAGCATGTCAAATTCTAGTTGTTATGTTCACATTTGTTACTTTGGGGTCAGCGTTGGTCATTTGGTAGGCTGTTAGAAGTGATATTTGTTGGTCATTTATTCAAGTTGGTTGAACTTTTATACAAATTATCTGTTTTATCTTTGTAGAATTTAATTATGTTTATTTTCAGATAATGGAATTTTGCCACATTTGGCCAGGGTTATGATCAGAGATTGCAAATATGATGTAACTTTTTGTTTATTTACTTAATATAACTATAACAAAAAAATTGTCAGATATTTTCATTTGTGAATTATCTTGTTTTACTTATGATCTGCTTAATGGAGATTATATTTTTCACTTAAATATTCATAAATTTATATTCCAAGTTGGATGAAATAAGGCAGTGCAAGGATTGCTACTTTCACTCAAATGCAAAGCCAAAAGATTGGTTCTGTCAGCCGTGCGTGAGTACAAAATTATTTTTTATTATTAATTAGAAGGTGTGGAATTAGACAAAATTATTTTTTACCGAATTCCAGCTTTTACCTCCATTGTCAAAATTTGTGTTGATTATTTTTAGATCAATTGAAAATGCATATTTGTATTATATAATTCTGTAAAAACCATTTTTTTGTTGATATTATCTTACACTAATTCTATAATGTGGATGTTTCAACTTTGTTTATTTATAATTAGTAGAATGCAATAGAGAGATTATCTTAGATGACAGTGATGGTTCAAATTTAAAATGATAGAGGCCACGACATGAGCTGGTATTTGCCAAGCAAAAGGGCTTTAGTTACTGGCCAGCTAAAGTGATCAAGATATTGCCAGAAGGTTATGACGTCAGATTCTTTGGATCTCAACACCAGAGGTTTGTTAGTCATTCATCTTCCTTCTCTTAACTGGTAATAAATTTCTATTCATTGAAGAAAACGTGTTCCTACTCTTATGATGATCACATCATTGCTTATATTATTATTATCATCTTTCAGAAACATTTGTTCAAAATATTGTAAATGCTTTAAAAAATCAATTAAGAATAATTGAATTAGGGTGCCTTGAATGATTGAGTGGGATGATGTGGTAGGTTTGCACAGGCTCCCAGCGTCTTCTATGCTAAATTTATCTTAATCCTTGAGTTGTAATTTTAATGAATCAAAAGTGAAGTCTTCTGGTGAAATGATGTATCCTGTTTTTTATTTCAATTTGAATTAGTTTTAATCATTATATAACTATTGTTGCTATTTAATCATCTTCATCATCGTCGTCACTTTTAAGTCATGGTCGTTATTGTCATTCTTTTATTCATCATCATTGTTGAGTTTTAATAATGGATTCTCTTTATTCCCACTTATTAACATTTTTTTTCTCTTTATTATTTTCATATGAATTTTTTTATTCTATTGTCAATATCATTTTGCTCTGTCTACTCCCAGGGCCGTCATACCTGAGAACAACATCAAACCAATTGGAACCAATCAAAAAAGTTTGGCCCTGAAACGAACGATGGGTTTCACGAAGGCCATGAAGGAATTGTCGCGCCACCAGGAACTTCTCGAGCAGATGGGAGACCAGGATGAAGCAGATGATCAGAGCAATGGTGAAAATGACGTTGATGATGACCAGGTCTGTTCAGTTAGCATCTATACAAAATAGAAAACATTAGTTTCAGAAAATTGAATTTTAATTTACTTGTTTTTATTTTATGTTGATGTTATTTTTTACAAATGAAAGGATAAAGATGAGCCAATTGAAAAAATGCCCAAGGTCCACCACAAAAAATTTCATAAGAAACGCCACTCTGAACAGACATCTGTATCCTCTAGTTTAAAATCTAACAACAGATGCTCCTCCGTTAGTCTAATTAATTAATTATTAGTTATACAATATTTTTTCAAATCTATTTCCTAATTATTTAATTAACGCTGTGAGTCAGACACCTAGGTTTAAGTTGTTACAGAATATTTTATACTTCTGAGATGGTCAATTAATGTTTAGGTGTAAAAGTGTAAGCTTATTGAGCCGTTTGTTGTAAGGCGATTGAAATAGTGATTGTTAACTTAAATGTTATAAAATTTTAAGTTGCTTGCTATTGCTTGGCCGTCTCCTCAAAGTCTTAGTTAGGCTGAGATTTTTAGATTTATGAAGTAAATTTGCTTCATTTTTTAGAAAAATGCTTTTAGAAATTTGCTAACATTTAACTGGAAAAATTAGTAAAATGAGGTTGAAAATAGTGCCATTAACATTAGACTTCTTATTGATAATAATGTAAATGAAAGTTGTCCAGAAGTGTGATGGTTCAGGAAACTTATAATATTCTTGCACTGTCTACCTATAAAATATATAATAACTTTCCAAATTTGCACATTTATGTACAAGTCTCAATCTAATTATTTCACAAGTATTTATTAAACGTACGATCACCTTCTCGTTCTCACTTTTTCTTCATTCCTGTTAAACACTTTCACACTAAATCTGTGTTTGCTTCTTCTAGTCCTAGAACTCTCTACCTACTTCTCTAAGTACTTCTCCATCACTTACGAAGTTCAGAACGGATCTTAAGACTCATCTTTTTATAAGATTCATTGAAAAGCGGTTTCGAACATTGCGGAAATGCGCTTCAATACAAATCGATTGATTGATCGATTGATTGATTGATTGATCGATTGATTGATTGATCGATTGATTGATTGATTGATTGATTGATTGATTGATTGATTGATTGATTGATTGATTGATTGATTGATTGATTGATTGATTATGATTATCTCTAAATCTCGTTTATGTAAACACATGTAAGTTGGGACAGTTTGAAGACAACCACATGGTGACCTCGAGTGAAGACAAGGTCAACACAGATCACAACACATCTAACGCTTCTCTTCGTTCCTATAAAAAAGTTTTTCTACATCATTAATTTTTATTATTTATTTTAAAATCATTGTTTATTTACGAATATGTTGTTTATGCATTTAATTGTTATTTAAAGTTGCTTTCAACTTTTTTCTGCGACTCAACATTGATATCATAATTTTGATAGAATTGCATACAATATGATGTTAGCAAACTGACGGCAGATTCCTACAGAGATTTAAATAATAATTACCTGATTAAAATTACATATCAACCGATCATGGCATGCAGCTGGCATTGGGAGTACGACTTCCAACAAAAAGTACACAGACCGAGGCCAGCAATTTTGATTTTCTTGATATTTCATCACTCCTGCCGAACGAACCTTCGTCAGTGGCATGCACGGGTGAGCCGGGAAAGTGCGAATGTGAGGTGAAAAATAATCGTCTGATGAGAGAGCTGGTGGAAAAGCTGGAGAGGAAGCACCAACAAGATAAAAAAGATGCCCTCGATGAACTTGAAAAGAGGGTTCGTTTCTTCTTTTACTTTCTGGTTACATCTTAATCTCTTATTGCAAATTAGGCGGTTTTTTATTTATATCTCTCATTAATAAATGTTTATAGGTGTTTTAAATGCAAAATTACGTTGCAGTTGTGGAAGGAGTCAAGTGAAGAGCAGCAGAAAGCTTTGAATCGAGCTATGACCAGCCAGCAGAGGGAGATAGATAGGATTCAAAATCAGATGGAGAAATTGAAGGAAGAACATGCGGAAGAATTAAAACAACTTTCCATCAAACATAAAAAAGAAATTTCTTTAGCTAAGAAGAAACAATGGGTTAGCTTAAAATTTTGTTTTGATATTTGCTATCACTATTACAAAAAGATATAAGTATAAAAAAGTATTAAATGTCAACTTTTAAAATTGACTGAGCAATTTTGTGGGGAACGTTTGATTACATCTCAGTTTTCATTGTTCTCTCTGAATCTACAAATTAATCAAATTATTTAGATGAAGACTTTCATGAAAACAAAATTATTAAAATGATTCGTAGAAACTTGATAAAAATTCAAAACATTACGCAACTCAATATCATTCAAACACAATGCAACGCAACTACCTGTTATAAAAACGCAAAAAAAACGCAATCATTTGAAATGCAAACTGACAAGTAAAAGTTACACCAACCCGACGAAACAAACAATTCAGTGTTACCACTGTGAGGAGGAGGCCATGTACCACTGCTGCTGGAATACGAGTTACTGCTCCATCAAGTGCCAGCAGGATCACTGGCACACTGAGCACAAGAGGATGTGCAGACGCAAGAGAAACTAATGCTGCAGAGAAGGATGCTGGCAGTGATGATTGTAAGGATGGGTGGATGATGCTGTATATATTCTGTCGATGACCACTATTATGATATCAAGTATTGGTAATGAAATTGCAAATGATCAGTCTTGCGTTAAAAGGCATTAATGCTGACATAAGTAACAGTAATGCTAATGATGCTGATGTGCTTGTGTTTGTGTGTGTTGTGTATGTGTTGTGTGTGTGTGTAATAAAAATAAATTGAAAATAAGATTTTAATGAATTAGCTCAGTCACTGTTTTTAAAAATTAGACTTTAATTCTTATTTCGCCCAAAGAAAAAATTTTTACTTATTATTTTTGGTTTTATCTTTGGATAGTCTAATTTATTTTATAACTATTAAAAAAGAAAATTCTTAATACTTGTAAAAACCATTAGGTAAGCTATTGATAACTGTTTAACATGATGCACTTTTTATTTCGGTTTAAATGGTGTTTTAGTTTTTTCGTATTTCTTTATTTAAATATTTGTTTATTTTCATTTGTTTTAATGTAAATGTAATTGCTGATATGAACTGGAGGCTGACCTTATTTATTCCTAGTTGGCATTACTAACAGCAGACTTATATTGTTGATCAAGGAGACTCACTCATTGTATAATTATTATCCATCTGATAGTTCTTTTCAAAACATTCATCCGCATTTTTTCGTCTGTCTCGTTGTATGTACTTAACAAATTTGCATCTCCGTCTCAATTAGGAGAGGTTGCTGCCTGGTTTTTGTTTTTCAGCTCTCGTTCTAATCACTATTCTCGATAATGTTATTATTATATTGTAATTGTTATTATTAATAATAATATTCATATTATTCATATTATTATATTATTATTGTTTTTGTTGTTCTCTTCGTCTGAACCATGATTGCATTCAAATATGTTACTGCTAGTTTTCAATGTGTGAGAGTTCGTGTTATCGCCGGCTAATCTGCATACCACTGGTGCAAATATAATCTTTCATTGCTTTCCTCGGTATGTTGAAATGTAATAGATGCACACATTGGCGTGACAATATGATCACCGATGAATTGATTAACCCATCTGTGCCACATAAGTTTCATGTTCTTCGATATTTCTACATTTATGCATATTTATTACATTTATCGCTATATTATTTTTTCTCAAGTTGTGCAGCTTGTAGCATACTGTTTGCAGAACCCCACTTAATGATAAAGAGTTGTTATGCAGCGTTTATTAGGCTTTAATGTGGAAAGCTGTTTTTTCCATGTGCCACTTCTGCACTTTGTTTTGTAACGTTCATCATCCAACTTTGATTATTTAGTTGTGTACCAGGATTATCATGGTTGTTCAAGCATTAACTTAACCATGCTTCCATCTGTTAACCACTTCAAATTATTCATTTAAATAGTTTTATTTATCATTGTAATGTAAATTTTGATCATTTGTGAAACAGTTCGAATTATCTTCATTGATGTTAACTAAGACACTGGCAATTTTATTTAATTGAGTTTTTCCATTTATCTGTTTAACTCGCAAATATTGTGCTACTCAACATTTGAGGAAATGGTCCTGCTTTTTGGAAATTGTATGTAGGTAATAAAAATAATTGAGAAATTCCAATCATTTGAAATCATAAGGTGTTTTGTAAGAAATGTTTTCAATACTCGTCGCTGAATCATTCGATCCTCTTCACTCAACGTTCTTCGCGTTTATGTTGATTGTTGCAAAGAATTTAATTTATGCGTTTTTATAATTTGATTTTGGTTTTATAAAGTTATTTGATAATTTTCTTATTAAATTTTCTTATTTTCCATGTAAAGCACATTTTCAAAGGAGCACCTTAAATTTCACGCAAACATTTCCCAGCTAATTTACGTGTGTGTATATAAAGCAAAAAATGTATTTCCCATGTTTTATAAAGACTGATTGAATAAAACTTGTATTTGATGCTTTTTTGCTGCTGCAATGAGCAAAAAATAAATTCTGATAGTAGAGATGTTATAGTTGACTGACAGTATTCACTAACTAACATATGTCTTATCCACTCCACTTGTCTAACCGCTAGCGCCAACACGGGCCGCCCGGGTAGATATCAGTGAGATGGCTATGCCTTTTCTTCCTTAACTCGAACTGAAAATGTCCTATCCTATCCTAATTATAAGCTTCACCATAGGAAATATCAAATAGAATGAAGTGTAGATATTGGTTGCGATCGGTTATATAAGTAATATACAAAACATAAAACATGACGATACAAAAAATTAAAACATTTCGACATTAGTTTCTGTTTATATAGCTCAGTTTCGATAACAAAATTGTCGTTGAATCAACTGGAATGTTTATAAAAAAAAATTTAAAAAAACTCATTTAATTTTTTGCGTGAGATGATGTGGAGGTAAAGCTGACAATGGTGGATCTAGGGGGCCGAGAAAGGCTTGGCCCCCTGTTGTGAGCATTATTTGCATTGAAATTTTTATACCAGTAAAACTCGGTTTTATGTACAAAATCGACAAAAAACAGTCGTCAGCTTAATTTTTGCCATACTACAACAAACCTTGGCCCTGTTAAAATTGAAAAATTTAAACATTTTCAAAACTTTGGCCCCTCCCGGTTAAAATTGTCAAGATCCGCCGCTGAAAGCTGATTTTATTGCATGAAGTCCAATAACTTAAAAGCGGCCAGTAGCAGCAAAGTTTGAAGCTGTGTGCCGTGTTGTATGTATTGTACTTAGAATTATTATTTGGGGTTAAGGTGGTTCACTTGGTGATGTTTTGCATTGCGTGCAGTGACCGGGTTCGAATATAACAAATAGATCCTCACCTATCATTCTTCATATGTGATTTGAACCTAGGAAAAGTGTAATAAACCTTCACCCTTTTTAAACCTTTAATTAATTGTACGCATAAGTTTCGAATAATTATAATTTTATATATAAGTATATGGATTGTACGCAATCGAACATAGATATATAAATTACGGACAACTTTTTGATTTTCAATGTTTAGGATTAGTTGAACGATATAAAGTTTCTGATCTTCTGTACACTTCTTGGCTTAATTACTTTAATTTTTCTTTGACGGGTGCAAGTTTGCAGCATGTTTAAATTTAGTAATACGAGTTTAAATTTTTTCTGTCGCAAAGCGGTTAAAACCAGAATTGACAGTTTTATTTCGAACCCCTCAAGGACTTTGGCATGTAACCAGCAGAGCCAAAGCCTCTCAACCCTAGCAAATCCTACTGACCCATCTGTATCTGATGTGTCTCATGTTTCTCAGGAAGAAGAGTCGTTGTACCCCCCTATTAAACCAAAGTATCCTGCGGGTAGATGGAAAAATATAAGTGAGGAATCTGCATGGAAAATACATGAAATTTCACATAGTATTCTTCAAATACCCAAAGCTAAAGAACGTCTGGAATTTTTAGCAGGTGAAGATGATAGAACGCTGTGGCTTGTTGCACCGTTAGCTCCCAGGCCTAATAATTTAAGTTATCAAAAAATCCTCACTAAATCACACATAATGCCCGATTATCCAAATTTGCTCAAATCAGTAAACGTGAATGGGGACATTCTTAGTGAGAGCATGTCTTTGATAGATGACCTTCATCACTTGGAAAGTATTTCTGTGAACCATGGCTACAGCAAATTATCTAGGACTATAAATCCAAACTTTGATGATCAACATTTACACAACTTCCTTGTTTCATCTATCAAATCATTAGTTGCATTTTTAAGTGGTAAAAATGAACATTTATTGAGATGTGAAATTGATGAAAATGTTAGAGTTGAATCATTTTGGAGAGTGACAGGGTTTGAAGGGGATAAAAAAAGTTGTGATGGTTCCTGGGATATAGTCAAGACAGTGAATGATATTGATGCAGGAGTCTTACAGTTCCAGTACAGACACAATGCTAATTTACAAATCAGAACTGAACTGCCGCTAAACCAGGTTTAAATTGATTTGTCATTACATGTATTAAATATTATGCAACCATAACTGAACAATATCTAAAAATTATTAATTTCATAGTTTGTGTCAATGGATGACAACACTTGCATCGCACAGGATCCATACATTCCCATGCATGCTCCTGAATTTGTAGGGATTAAATCCATCAAAGATAGGCCAGTCAATGTTTCTGGTTAGCAAATTTTGCATTCTGTTATTAAATTAAATGAAATACAGTATTTCATACCATTTCAAACTTATTAACTTTTTGCTTTTTATGAAAATAACTTTGGTTAGACATTAGTTGACTTTTAAATGATGCTTTCCTTAACTTGCTAAACTAGAAGACTTTCACTGTTCACTTAGAAAATTGTTTCATTTTGGCAATGCATATAAAATGATAACTGATTCTTTAATGGCATTTTCTAAAACTTTTATCAAATGTTTTTCAATGAAACATGAATGTTATTTAATTATTTTTTTGAATGTCTAACCAGGTTATTGCTGCTGCTTGTTATATATAAATTTTAAATGATGATGAATCAGTTGGTTTAGATATATTCTAGTAAATCCTTTTCACGTAGTGAAAGTGATTTAGAAAATTGTTACCTACTAGCTTATTTCAAATAGCACAATATCAATAGAAACCTGCAAGTAAAATTTATAAAATGTGAAAATTTTAATGATTTGATGCTCGCAGAAAAGAATTTTTGGTAGGTGATGATCATAACTATATTTTTTAAAAAGTCACATGTCCCGCATCTGTAGGTATAAGGAGATGTTGAATATAAAGAAAGATGTCTTGAATCAATTTACAGATCAGTTTAAAAACTATTTTACTAAATTTACTAACAGATTTTGAGGTTACCATTTCAATTAGTTTGTACAGAACTCTTATTCGTGATTATTTTATTTTGTAGGCCACTGGATAGGCAGTCCATGCGAGTTCACAACGTGTTCTGTTCACCTGATGCCAAGTCAGTTTGTTGATAAGTTTCTCGAATATGGTAGTGAATATTTGAGGGAGGCAGAAGAGCTCATGGCCCTCACAACAATGTTTGGCTCATGTCTTGCTCAGGCTCACAACCAAGGTGGGTTTTCTCCAAGGCATTTGCCCATTTATACACATTATGGCTTGTAATTCGTGCATCAAATATTGAAAAGAAAAAACATAAATGATTAAATTAGATTAATTTATTAGATTAAATTATTGTATAAGAAAAAAAATAGCCCGATTTCTTTCTAACTTATGTTGTAAGCATGGAAGTGTCATGAGGCTTGTAAATTACATTTCCAGGTTTTTGTGACATGCTGGATTTGACATATCCGATAACAACTCAAAGCGTGATAGTTAATAAAGAATATGTAAGATTTGCATGCTACCAATTGAACACACTGCAAATGTGGAATGACGCCAACCCTTTACAAAACCTCATGTGGATATCAGAACCAGTCAGTATGCTTTCCAAGTCATCAGATAATGCCCAGACACTCAGTAAACAGTTTGTAGAATTCTTGTTAAGATCGATTCTTATCAAGCCTCACGATCGAGAAATAAACTTGAGGCCGTATCTTCCTGATGAGGAATCTCCGGTTAAAACGAAATTTACAATCAACTTCAAAGGTGAAAAACCTTTTGAACACCCCGTTATTGGCAGGTGGCAATATCCAAAGCGCTCTATATATTTTTAATTTTTTTATTTATTTGATTAATAACTGAAGTTTTTAAAATAAATTTTAAAAAACTGTTTTTGGATTTCAAAATATAAAAAATCGTATTAATCACGACATTTATCAGCTGTTTTTAAAGTAAAACAATAAATACAGTCATCTCTACAACCGACTACGATTACACCTTCGGCGTAGCAAGGCGATGAGAAAACTTCGGAACATAAATTGTATGTACATATTATTGTGCCATCAAAGGTACTTATTATATATACACAGCCTTTGATGCTGCAAACTGCTAGTGTATTGACTTCTTCAGTGATGACTCCACTGTTCGAGTTCTCGTTTCTGACACTGTCTGAATATCTTGTGTCATCGTTTAATTTAGATATATCAAATAAGCAAGGCGTACCATAAATTTCAGAGTCCAACTTGGACTTCCAAATCGTTGTTCCATTTTTGGCATTGATGCAATGTAAATAATGATCGTATGAGCCAATGAGCAACATCTCACCACATTGTTCATCTTCGTTGTTCAATGATGAGAATGAAATGGCAGAAGAGAAGATGGGACCGTTCGTCTCGTACTTCCATATCTTGTTTTAATGTGTTCAAATCATCAATGTTATTTTTATATAAGATTATGTGCATACGAGTGATCATAATATTGTAAGATGAAAATCTATTTTATAAGTAATTGCAACAATGCTAGTCTAGAAACTTGCCCAGTAAGATATTTCATGAATTAATAAACAAAAGAAAAAATGATAGGGATATTTGGTTTGCCCATGGTACATAAATTGTTGAACCAATATGCGTTTACAGTGACTTACGATGTTGTGCGTTCTTTTATCGATGGCGTAGAGAAACCCATCCACACAACCTACGACGTAAAACAGTTTTGATATAATTAGTGATGAAAAAATAGGCTTTGCCAGATTGACTCTCCAATGTACCTTGCCTGAGGTCTGAAAATTAAAGTTTGTGGTGGTTGTTAAATGCGAAATTTTAGCAAAAATCATATTAATTGGAGTTGCAAAACTCTAAAAATGTAATAACCGCGTCTAGACGGCAAATTAATCCAGTGAGTGTACATACAATCACTCCATCTTGTTTTGAAACTTTAGCATCGTCTCCGCCCGCAGTATTACAATCTTCATTTCTTTTCTCATCAATCTCACTACTGGCACTTAATTTTAACCTTTTCGCATTGGAGTGGGCATCAAAGTGGCGGTTGTCATCTTCAATCTTTCTATCGATCTCTTCATGAATTTCAAAATAATCAATGCAGGGTGAAGAGAATATGCTACCTTTCTGCAAGTCAACACTCCACACGCATCGTTCATTCTGTTAATAACATTAAGTTTTCACAAAATTATTCGTTAGTCTGTCAACTTGTGGTAATTGTTAATGTATTCACTTTTACTTTCATTCATTTACAAAGCAGAATGAGCAGTATCTGAGAGGCAGTAGCAAAATTTTAAAAATTACAAAAGCATTTTAATCACACCTATCTCATATTCATTCAAGGGTCACCAATTTACCAGCAGAATAATTCAAGTAAATTTTGTTGAAAATATTGTACATTTACAAAATTTAAATATTTAATAAAATTAAAATAAATGCTATACAAACGATGATGTCAAGAGCATAAAGACATCCATCGTGAGATCCAGTATAGACGATGGCATTCCTCACATTCAAACATGGTGAACACTTTACAGAATTGCCAGTTTTAAACTTCCAAACAATTTCACCATTTTTTGACGATATTTTGTAAACGTTTCCACTATAGCAAGCTTTTTAAAAGTTAAGGTTTAATAAAAATTAAATGTTTAATTATCCAATATTGTAAATGATAAGGGTTTGAAAAGTGAAACTAGAGGTGGTCTACAAAATAAAGTCAGAATGTGTCAAGCAGGAGAACAGGTGAGATTGAAACTGAATCGAGAGAAAACAGAAACCACGTTGTTTCATCCAGATAAATCGCAAAAAGAGCTGGCATAACAAGATTAGGTAACAGAATTTGTCTACTTGGGTAGTTTAGTCACATGGAAAAAGTTAAGATATCAGCATTAGTTCAAAGCAAAATGTGCTTCAAGCGTGTGTTTTTGGCACATACGCGTGTGAAGCCTGGAGCGTGAAGGTGACAGGAATGTGCTTGATGGCATTTGAAATGAAGTGCAATCGGTGAAATGTGAAATTATAAATAAAAAGTAAGAAACAGAGTTCGTTTTGAAGAAAATATTTATCAATCAGTAACGAGAAAAATGCCGGAACTGTTTGGCAAAATCTTTATAATGTGTGATGACAGACTTATCAAAAAAATGATGTAAAATAATAGTAGATAGAAGTGAAGACATCGGAACACTGGTAGGAAAGGCAAATGATAAACATGGGAAAAAATGAACAGGTCATTGGTCACTAACGAACAATGATATCCCAAGAACAGATGATAATTAATCGACTAAGAAGAACAAAATAAATATCTTATAAAATGTTATTATATTTATGTGTTCAAACAATTTATCACCTGTGATAACGTAATCTAAACAAAATGATGAACAAGCAGATGCTTCGACTCTATCATCCAATTCAATAAGCCAATTTATTGAACCGGTGTGCAGATCCAAAGAAACAAATTTGTGTGAGTGAGAACCGATGTACACTGAACTACTAAACCTGTTCGCATTGGTAAAATTGACAAGCGATTATCATTGCTTCAAAAATTGTTCTAATTATTAACATTCTGATCAGTTTGAAAGCCTATGACACTGAACCAGTTTTTATTAGTATCTCAACAAACTATAAGCACTAAAAAACAACATCTGACACAAACAGAACATCATCAGTTGAAATAACTAAATAGCAAATGAATGAAAATAACTTGGTAGTGACTATGAGTGGAGATGCATCCACACATTTTTTGATGTTGTATGACCACGCAATGGTTAGCTTCAAAATGTTACGTGGCAACTGCAATGATTCCTTTGTTGTTTTGAACTTCATCGTTTTATAAACACATAATCGATTATTACTATTATTATTATTATTATTATTATTATTATTATTATTATTATTATTGCTGTTGTTATCGTCATCATCATCATTATTGTTATCACCAGTTTCATTGAAATAGGCAAGTTTTATAAGTTTTGCACATCTGCTTATGATAAAAATGGGCGAATTTTCGTCACTATTTTTATTGTGATGAATTATTCTGTTGGGTTTACAATGATTATGATGAACAACATTTGTGTCACTTTTGAAAAATCTTTCATCCATTGAATCCGTAGAGCCAACATTCCTTTTCTGATAACATTGTACAACGTAATATACAACATCTTGCATACATCTGCCACCCAACAACATATCCAACATCGATTCTCCAATAAAAGTGAACTTTGCCGAAATATCTTTAACAATGGACAATGCCAAGAGAGAATCACCTCCGATTTGGAACCACGTTTTATCGTTGAAGTAATTTGAAAGTAAATTACTTTTCAGAACGTTAAGTTTTTCAGCGCACTCAGTTAGAAAATAATCAGTAACTTCTTGCAAAGATGAGGATGAATATTTTAACATAGTTGCCGTCTTCATGTAATCCATATACAATAATTGCAGCTTCTGCCTGTCCACTTTACCTATAATAAGGTAAATAAATAGTTATTAAACATTGAAAATTAATTAAAAGGCATTTTAAGTAATTTAAAAATAATTTTCTTTACAACAAAACTAAAAACGGACCATGTTGAGTTAGAGGCATGATGTTAACACAAACAACGTCGTCAGGAATGTAGTGGGCTGGCAGCCAATGACTAACACATGAATAAACACTTTTTATTATTTCTTCATTTTTAAACAAAATTATGGATTTCTCAGTAGAATCGAAGGTTTTTTCATGTTCGGAAAGCTGATTCTCATGTGATGATCTGATGAAAATAACCACCTGACAATTTATATTTGATGCAATGGCAGTGCTTACATTTGACAACCTGCATAAAATCTGTAAAGAAACGATTGAGGTCCAGATATTAACAAAACCAAAAAATGCTATTTCAAGTATGAATAGATTTCGTCGTTTGCAAAAAAGTTATTTTGATCATTTAATATAAAGCAACAAGAAAACTTTAAATAAAAGCAAAAATGAAGATTACAAACAGGTTCAAATTCTTGAAGATTCAACTTTTTCCCCATTCTCTTTATGACATCGTCGCACCTGCCGATGTAGTACATCTTGCCATTCACTTCCTGGACAACATCCCCAGAGCATCTGCAGCATTTATTTCCTCTTTACATTTACACTAGTTTTATACTAAGAAAATATATATAGCCAGTTAAAAAGGAAATAGCAAAAAACATTTGATGAAACCTCGTAGTCAGCACTTGTGAAGTTGGTTCCGTGCTGGATTCACTTTTTTCAGTGGCTATATCATCGTCAACCCAACAAGTTCTTTCTTGACCACCTACAGATAACAAAGTTACCGATAAATGTTATTTTATGATTCTTATTAATATGAAAACATCTAACCTATCCATAAAATGCCTTTCCTGTTTGATTTAGTGTCCTGGCCATAATTATCTTGGTTTGTATCTTCATCAAAATTTCTTATCTCAAGAACTGTCTTGTCCAGAACATCACCTAACTCAACTTCTTCGTCAGTCCTGTAAATATTAAATAAATTTATTAAAATGAAAAAAAGCAATTATGCATATTAAAAATTTATCAAATTCTATGAATAACAAACAGCCTGAACATCACCACACAAGACAAATTCAAGTAGTTTGATTAATTTGATCGATAGATTGAAGCAAAATAATGCATTGGAACTCAACTGGAGATCAGCTGTATCAATGCCCATCACCTCATGGCAGGTGGCCCAGCATGAAACCTCTGTTATCCCATACAAATTGAATATTTTCGTCCTGTTCCCTTCATGTTTCCAACTTTTTAAAGTTGATCTCGAGGGACACTTCTCTCCTCCTATTGCTAAAATTCTTAATTGTGAAGTTCCTGACAGCAATGTAGAATTGAAACTTTCAGGTTTCATTGTTGAAAGCAATGAAGGGGTTGCCTGTAAATATAACAAATATGTATGTACATTAACGTCATGTGCAGCAAACACATTAAATATGTATGTGAGTTCTTTCACATTGCAAAAATGTTTATAGACATAAAAAACAAATATATCTATATATACACAAACATATATTTAAACAAGTATGTTAGTATAATCAAAATAAGTTTATATTGAGGACAAAAACATTTTATGCAAAAAATTTAAAAAAAATAATTGTGAAGAAATGGCAAGAAAATGTGAAGAAGGATTATCTATGTGTTTTACACTTTACATTTTACATTGTACATTTTTTACACTGTGAAAATGGTTGAACATGAAATGTAAAAGCTGGAACATGTAAAATGGTGATCTTGTGCCTGTCCACCACCATTGAAAGCAGCTGACTGCCATTCCACCTGATTGGCTCTTCAACGACCAGCAAACATGAGCCACAGTACATTGATGTGAAGATCTGTACATAACTTGGGTCAAAGGTCAGTGGTGAAGATAGCAATATGACATCATCAGAGGTTTGCTGGAAGATTTCACTGGTTAATTGATCATGTAAATATTTAATTTGTTAATGTATATTAAAACCAATTTGAATATGTGAATAGAATGAAGTTAACAATAGTTTTCTCAGAGTAAAATAAAAGTACCTGATATGAGTGATGTTTGGAATAATGCATCTGTCAGGAACATAAACTATTTTAGGTTCTCCAGTAGAACCAGATGTTGTTACAATGTAAGCCACTTCGTTCATGTTTTTAAAACAATTTACTGAAGTATCTTTGGAGAAGATAAGTAAGTAAGCATCAGTGCTCTTGAACTTTTCAACTTTCACATCGTATGTTTTTTTCAACAATTGGACAATCTAAGTGATCATTTATTTTTTACAAAACTCATCATTAAACTTCTTACCAAGTTACACAAAATGTTTTAAAATGGTAAACAAAAATTTTAACAGTAAAACATGAAAAATGACTTCGGCAGAATCTGTAATGCAGACAGTGAATCCTATTTTCTCCTTTAGATGAGAAAATCTTTCTTTGGCCACAACATCTCTTGGATTCATATAAAAAAATGTATGTTGCAATTTCAATACTCTGTGTGAAAATAAGTTTCATAATATTTAAAAATTATTATTACTGCTTAACAAAATAATCATTCATACTTTTTTGTTTTGTTTCATTGAATAAAAGTAATTTGATTTGAGAAAAAAAACTAAAAATTTATTATATAACTATTGAGCATATGATGTGATTTTTTTGTTTTTGTCAGAATTGCAAATTATTGTCAGCATAGTGAATTTAAAATTAGGACAACCAATAAAGTGTTTTTTAAAAAATCTGTGAATAAATCTTCTATGTTAAAGATAAATTGGTAAACCTGTTAGTGTAAACGTTAAAAAATTTCAAGATTTCATGAAGCAACCTAATGTTATTTATTAAAAATTGTAAAAAGCAGGAACAAAAAGTTTTAAACAAAGTCATCACAAAATGTATTACAATTAAACATAGCAAAAAAAAGGAATAACCAACCCAAGTAAGACTGTTATCACATCAACTCCAGACTTCATACAAACCATAAAAACAAGGTGCTGATCATCTGCTAAATAATCTCCCAGATCCACCACAAACTGAAATGATTAAATTAAACACTTTAGTTTGATTGAATTATTGATTTAAAGAATGTTCAACAATACTAATCATTAATAATTAATATTAACCATAATAATATCATAGTTTATTTGAACAAGTATGTTTTAATTTATTATATTTCTTATAAATAATGTAATTGTAATATCTTCTTATCTAACCAAACTATTAAAATAAAAATCTTATCCCATCCTATTTAATATATAGTGCATCCAAAGATATAAACAAAATGCTAATAATGATATTTCAATATGAGTATCTTTAAAAATTAAAAAGTAATGCATGAAATGAAGCTGAAGTAACAATAGTTTTTAACATTACTGTCATTACATTATTAACTGTTAATGATTAACATTAACCAATGACTGCATGCAACTTATTGTCTACCCATAACATAATTATAAATTTTATAATATAATAAAAGTTCTTGATATTTTATCAACAACATCATTGATTTTTTTTATTTTAATCTTTAATGATTACTTAGACATTATTATAGGACTATTCACTCAATAAATCTATCAATGCTGCCATCCACATTATTTAATAATTATAAATTATAATTATTTCATCATAATTATATGTACTAAATATTAATATTCATTCACACACACACACACACACACACACACACACACACAGAAAACTCACCTGTTCTAAAAAAATTTTTAAACGATCATAGTTAATTTTCAAACATCGAGAACCGGATTCATAGCAAACAGCTGGTCTGTCGGCTTTCGAATGGAAATTCTCTTGAATTAGATCCCACAACCTCATGATTTCAGCTCAGTAAAAAGTAAACAAGTTAGAATATTTTTGAAGGTTAGACTAAAGCTATAAAGATTTTTATGAGCCATTATACTTCATATATATATATATTTATTTATATATACAATATTCTAAAAATTCTACCGAATGTTTGGCGTTTTTCGACAAGTCTTGAACTACATTCTTTTTAACATCTAATTCTCGAGAGAGATGGATTTAAACATTATCAGAGAGAAATGGAGAAGTCACACACACACACACACACACACACACACACACACACACACACACACACACACACACACACACACACATATATATATATATATATATATATATATATATATATTTATATATATATTTATAGAATATTGTAGATATATATATATATATATCTATATTGTAGATATATATATATATATTGTAGATATATATATATATATATATATATTGATAATAGACCATAATTTTTACAATATTCTATAAATTCTACCAAATTAATTTAAACTTAAGTTAAACTTTAGTGAGAAAAATCGAAAAAACTAACTACAAACATATTAACGCCAAACATTCGGTAAAATTTATAGAATATTGTAATAATATATATATATATATATATATATATATATATATATATATATATATATATATATACAAACACACACACACATTAGAACACAATATTTATTAACACATTCAAGACCAGAGGCAGAATGGGCGTGCAGTGGTCCAAATCAAAAAGCAAAATGTAATGTAAATAAACAAAATCAAAGAATTATCGAGTGATTTTGAAAAAATAAATTAGAAAAACTACAAAAATTAAAAAAATTCACTATTTTTACAGTACACATAAATTTTACGTCAAAATTTAAACAAATGATGAAAAATGATTTGACAACAATGACCGTGTAGATGGGGCTTGCAGTGGTCCAAATCAAAAAGCAAAAATGTAATGTAAAAAAAAACAAAATTAAAGAACACTGTAGACCATGATATATTCTTGAAGTGAATCAACTTCAATTTTTGGAATTACAGAAGTTGCTCATTCATGGTTCAATTCTTAACTCACCGCAAGAACAAAACAGGTTTTGTTCAATGATGAGTTGTCAGCTACAAAGGTCGTCACATCTGGTATACCGCAAGGGTCGGTATTGGGACCGATACTTTTTCTTTTATGCATGTCTGACGTGCTGGAAGCAATAAATAAATCTGGGGTTTTTTGTCATTTTTACTCAGATGATATTGAGATGATTGTCAGCTGTCCAGCCGATAAATTTTAGGATGCTGTAAATAAATTAGCGCATTATTTAACTGAGGTAAATGAGTGGATACTCTCAAATTGACTGAAACTTAACCTATGTAAAACCGAACTGATGAAAGTTGGCAGCAGTTGTCACGGGTCAATATTGATTCATTTCATGTAGATGGTCATAACATTGAGTTTTGAAATTGCGCCTTTAATCTAGAAAGGATCGTTGAATCTAAATTGACGTTTATTGATCACATCAAAATACTAACTAAAATGTGTGCTGCTCAACTATATAAAATAAAAACGTTTAATAAGAAAATCGAACAAAAGAACGATCGAAGGATCTATGCACGTGTTCATTCACTCTCTCGGCTGGAGGACTATTGCAACAGTATGTATTATGGTTTACCCGATAAATCTGTTGGAATTTTAGTCTATCCAGATGAAAAACTTTTTAATTAGCGCCATATAAATATTCTAATAATGATATATATATATTCTATATAAATGACTTAGAATAAGTCGAGACTCTACCTGAGTGAGAGATTTTTTGCAATTTTTTTAAAAAAGCCGATTTAAGTCCCAAAGGAAAGCAGCCAGTTTTGAAGAATACATTTAATCAGCGTAAAGAACGGTATAAATTGTCCCAAGAGCTTCATGAAAAGTCGAGAACACCATTTGGGCTACATCAATGAACAGTCGTAACCTTTTGCAGTCGTAACCTTATCTAGTCACTTTTGAAAAACCAAGAAATTTCTAGATATTTAATCTTGAAAAAACTGTTGGTGCACTACCATATCTTAACTTGAGAGATGAATTGAAATGTCTTCAACGGTTGTAGAAAAAAAGATTAAGACAGAAATAATTCCAATAAATTCTGGCGTGAAAATTATGATCTTTTTTTTCTACAATTGTTGAAGACATTTCAATTGATTTCTCCCATCTACCCATTTCACTCCAGAGCAAATTTCGTTTTAAGAAAACGTAAATTGCGCATTTTGATTTTTCTGACCTGAAGTCCGTACTGCACAACTGATAGATGCAGCAATATTTTAAAACGTCGATTTATACAAGAAAAACTTTTTTTGGTTAGAGCCAAAAAACCATGGATATATATATCCATGCAAAAAACATCTAGAAAACAATTGCGTTGTTTGATACAGGTCAATGCATAGTGAATATGTTGACAGGGTGAGCACCACACAAATATCTTTTATTGTAACTTTATTCCAAGAGGATTTAGCAGAAAATGTTAATATTCAAGTGATAAATAATAGAAAATGATGGTTTTATGATGTAGTTCAATTTTAAAATGTAGATCTGCAAAATAACGATCCTGAGTCTTTGACCGCCCTAAAATTGACTGCCCTGTTTCCCAAAATTTCTCTACAATTTCGCATGAATGGCTACCATTTTTAGTAAGAAAACAAAAATTGTCAAATATATTAGGGCACAAAAGAAAATAACCTTGCACGGGCTACACCCAGATAACAAAAAAGTGGTGGGTCGCGAGACCATATTTAAAAAACACAACGCTTACTTTTTATTGTAGATTTATTTTTCAAATAGTATTTCCTATTAAAAATTAGCAATTCAAAACGCTGTGACATGGAATCATCCTGGTTGACATGGTCAACTGTATAAAACAAAAACGATCGTATGCCTTCTCTTGACTAAAATTGAAAAATCTATTTGTGGCATTTTAAGAGGCGGAAAATTTCAAGTCATTATGAATAAACCTTTACAAGAAATTCATGAGAATTAAAATACAAATACAAAAAAGTCATATGATGAATGAGTCTGGTGCTATATTTACTAAAACAAAATTTAAACGGAAAAATAAAACAAGGGAATTTATTAATTGGTACATTGAATGGCAAATTAATATAAAATTTAGGCTTTGTTCTTCAAAGCAATTTCACAAGGATTGATAACAACGGAACTAGTGCAATTGTTAATTTTGAATATGCCAACCAATCTATCGCATCGCTCAAACATGTTGTTTCTCAATGAGATGACAATGAATTGAGCTCCCTCTGTTCTCTCCTGCATTCAAAAAATGTTAGTCATTCTATTACTAAACAATGTTTTTCTTAATGAGTTACATTTTTATGACAAATTCGAAATTTTTCAGACCTCAACCCCCCAAAAAAAACATATAACACAACCAACACAATTAACTGTAATCAAACAACCTTTATGTAGTTGGCAACTATGGAGACATTCCTGAAATCAAGAGCAGCATCAATTTCATCCATAACATAGAACGGAGTTGGTTTATAATGATGCAGAGCAAACACGAGAGCCAAGGAGCTCAATGTTTTCTCACCTCCAGATAAATTTGATATATTCTTCCAGGATTTTTTTGGAGGTCTGACACTGATAAAAGGTGTTTAAAAGTTGAATGAATGTCATTTTTTTAATAAATTAATAAGATGTAAATACATGAATACGAGGGGACAGCAGAAAAATTACAATGTAACATTATAAAGACACTTAATTATTAAAAATTATAATAACTTATAATTACGATTACACTGACAGTGTAATATTATAACTACCATAATATGATAATAAATCCTGATATAGTTATAAATTGATAAATAAATATATAAATTGATAAATAAATATATATATATATATATATATATATATAATAATAATATGGCATTTCTCTAAAGCCCTTATGCACAGCTTCAGAGCAATAAAAAGCCAACCTAAATACAATTCCTTCAGAGAAGGGGTCCAGGGAGTCAACAAGTTCGAGCTCTGCATCACCGCCGAGGGTGATCAGCTGATACATCTCCTTTAGCTTGTTTGTCACCTGAGCAAATCCACACATGAACTCATCAAATCGACACTTGCAAAAATCTTCATAATGTTTTCGCTGCAGATCCTTTAGGTTTGATACTCTGGTCATTTCGTCGACACGCTTCATGTACAGTTCGTTCTGCAGTTATCAAATTTATATCTATTTACACTTCAATTCTGTATTATTCAATTGATTAGAGTATATCAATAATAGAAAATAATTTTTTAAACGAAACAATCAATACAGATAACACATGAACAAACATTAGCATAATGAATGCATAATCACAAATAAATTGAATATTTCACCTTCTTCTTATATTCATCAATAGCAGCCATGTTAGGTTTCATATTGGATAATTTCTCATTAGCGATATCAATTTGCACCACTAAGACTTTCTCATCAACATGGCCAAGTTCTTCTTGATTCTTGAAAGAAGGCAGCACCAACACATCATTTTCTTCAATTACGTTCAGCTTTAATTTGGAAATCTTTAAAAAAAATGCATTTATTTGCAAATTTCCATCAATAAAAAAATAAAAAATTAATAGTTGAAAAAATTAAAAAAAGTTTAAATATTAATTTCCTTAAGAACAAAGTGACCTTATTTTTTAGGCCCTCAATTTGAACAGCAATGTCTTTTTCTTCTTGTTCTATCTTTTCTAAGCGATGCGTAACTTTGATTATCTGTGTCCTGATGGCCTGCTCATCTTCCTCATACTTTGCTATGATGTCAGATACATTTGCTACTTCACTTTCGTAATTTTTCATGTCTTCCTAATTAATTTAAAAAAGTGAACATTCAATTCAACAATTCTTTTTAACGTTTAAAATTCACAGTTAAATATATAGTTAATAGTTAAAACATAAAAAGAGTTGTTAATGATGATATAATCGAAGCTAAAAAGAAATAAATAATAATGGACCTCAGCTTTGTTGAGAAAGATG